AGAGAGGGGGGCACAGGGCGGAGAGAGGGGGCACAGGGCGGAGAGAGGGGGGCACAGGGCGGAGAGAGCGGGGCACAGGGCGGAGAGAGGGGGGCACAGGACCAGACAAGCTTTCACGCTGTCATGTCCAGGGCCTGCATGAGCTGACGCTGACTGGGAAACACCTGACAACAGCACACTGGGCTTTGTGCCGTCTTCCAACCACAAAGCTGAGGCTGAGAAAGCTGTCCAGGACAGCCCGCTACCACCAGGCAGCACAGCTAGGGGCCCGTCTTCCTGCAGTGACTTCATACACGTGGGGATATCTGACCAGTGCACCACGTGCTCCCATTTCCAGGGCATTTTCCACACAGACGAGCATCTTAAAGAAAACATCCCACCGCTCCCAGCTTAAGGGACAGGCCACGAGTCTGAGGAGTCTGGGAAAAGGGCTAACTCCTGGGATTGGAGGGAATGCTCTCAAACCACACTCCTGTTTCCACCTTGACCACCTGGTCCCCCCTCCTGTGTCTACCTGTCAGGCACAGGGCTCCCAGCCGGGCCACTTCCGGCTCATTCGGACCAGGAAGCTCCACACCATGTAAATATTAGAAAGTAAATGAAGCCATCTAGCATTTACCAGCTTGAGACTGGCTGAGTGCGGGGCATTGTGGTGTTAAGATATAATTAGACTAATGCTCTGCCTGTTCCAACTTCTCAAGAAGGACTCTGTGTCCTACTTCTCCTGAGGCTGAAGGTGATGCACTCACAGGAGAGAGAAAATCAGAAATACTCACCTTGCGTTCCGGAATTCTGGGCAAAGACAGCCAGAAGCAACGTGCACGTGGGGAGCCCTGCTCAGCATTAACTCACGAAGCCTCTTGCCCCACAGTCCAGGTTAAAAGGCTCTAAGGAGTACCACCCAAATAATCAACTCAAGTGCAGAGCCGGCCCAGGGGTTACGCCAACCGGACAGAGCAGAGGGTGGAAAGGCTCTGTTCAAGCACACGGTGCCCCTTCCTGCTCCCACTACAGGCAGGAGGCACAAAGAATGATGAGGAAACAAACGTCAGGATGAGCAGGGCCTCCCATCCCACACACAAGTCCTTCAAGACGGCAGGCAGAGCCCGAGGCGGGCCGCTGAGGGCAGGGTTCCTGACAGGAGTACCTGACAGACACACTGTGGGCTCCGATTCTGATCACCGCAGCTGAGTGTATTCTAAACGTCAGGTGTCACAATAAAGAATGCGCACTGCCAAAGACCAAGTCCTGCACTCATAATAAACCCTGAGCAACAGCATCACGGAAAAGGCTGAAATGTCCCAAGAAAACCCATGACCCAGAGACACAAAGCAAGCACACACTGTGGAAAAAGTGGTGCTGATAGACCTGCTGAACTTGGGGCTGCACAAACCTTCCGTTTGTTAAAAACATCACAAGAAAATGAGGCATGGCTGTCTCAGAGGGGTGACGACTTTGTCCCTGTGTGTGTGTTATTCGAATACTTACCTAAAGGGCTGCAGTTACAAACACAACAACCTGCCTGTGGGGAGAACGGCCAGGAATGCTTGTCTGCACTGGATGGAGCCCAGCAGTCAGGCCCATGTGAGGGGGCGGGGGGCGAGCGGCGGATGGATGGACACATGGGTAAGGGGGGCAGGGTGAAGAGAACAGAGGTGAGGGGGACGGGTGAGGAGCACAGGGGTGAGAAGGACAGGGGCAAGGGGGCAGCTGTCACTCACTCCACACAGGGACACAGAGCTGCCTGAGGTGCCAGCAGGACTGATAAGGTGGGGATCACACCTATGGGGTGATTTTAAGTCTCTATTAAAAGCTGTGAATTAATGATGAGCTCGGGGGAGACGGTTGCCAATTAACAAGTAGCAGCTGTTTTTCTTTCTCTTTCAGGGCCCAGCTGATTAAAATTGCACGCCTCATTTAAGCAAGAGTCTCATGTCCTTTACCTGAAGATTTTTCCTTTAAAGAAATTTTGAAAAACTGAGCATCCTTTATTCAAATAAAGTACATGGTTTTGTGATTCATTAAAACACTTTCAAGCTGAATGCGAATTATCAACCCACAGAAGCACTTCCCCCTCCTTCTGTGGCGTGTGTGCGTTTTTAATTCTGTTTGGCGCGTCCTGACTCCTCAAGAGAAGCAGCTTTGAAAATGACAACTCTAACCACAGAGCAAGGGTGCTGCGTGCCCAGACCCGGCGCAGGAAGGGTAGCAAAGACCCTCTCCTCGGTGTTCTCAGCACACAAAGAACCCACTCGGGGTGGGCCACTCACCTTCTCTGTTCCCGTCAGAACTTTAGTAATTAAATGTCTTGTGTAAAAACAAAACACTTTCCATGTTATTCTATTAAGAGATAAGTCCTTTTCTGACTGGCGTCATCATCCCTAACTAGTCACATCAAAATCGCCTCTGAAATGCTGTTTTCATGGCTAGCTGAGCGTTCCTCAGTCATTCGTGTGTAGCCATCAGCACTCTTGGTTTGCTAAGACCCAATCCCCGAAGCCCTGTTACAAACTTACTCAAAATTGCATTCTCTTCAGGGTGCAAAGACTGCCACGACTAAATGTCTAAAAGACACGGTGAAATCCACAGACAATGCAGGCAGTACACACAGACACACAAAGACAAATGCAACCCTGGATAAAGCTTCAAAACCACGCTTCATTCGCTTTGAGAACCTTCCGTCGTCCACCCACAGGGGACTTAACTGCCTCTGCAGTGGACGCCGAGGAAGGAGTTCTGGCCATTTGAGACTTTCCAACATTCCAGCTCAAAGACGGCACCAGATATAAACAGCTTAACGATCTTTTGAAATACAGATCAGAGAAAGTATTTGCACCCTTAATAGAAGGTCCTGGATGGAGTGGGAGAAAAGAGATGACCTAAACTCAAATCCATAAAAAGGGAGGAAAAATCCCAAAGAGTCCAACTCACTGGTCAGACAGAGATGGGGCTTGGGGGGATTCCCCAGACAGCCGCCCTCAGTCAGCCTTCAGCCTGGACCTGAACTCACTCCTGGGACCCAGCTTTCAGCCAAATCCTCAACAAGCCTATGAAGTGAACAATACCACCAGGAAGGGATGAATTCGTTACAACAGCCAACCCTGTCCTGCCTCGTCCCCCTCAGGACCAAAAGCACAGCTCTGCCCAAGGTTAAGTGGGAAGGCAGGAGGGGAGAATGAACAGGCTAAGAATGAACATTACTAACTGCAAGTCTAATTTTCTTTGTAAACTTTCAACCGCATCTCTTTACAGAGAGAGAGAGGCTGAGACCCAGAGAGACAGAGACCCAGAAAGACAGGCAGAGGAACAGGCAGAGGGGAGGCGGAGAACTGTAAACATCTGGACCCTTGGCAACGGACTGGGGCCAGTCTGGCCTGATGCTGTGCCTAGCTGCTTCTCTCCTGGCCACCCCTCCAGATGAGCTCACTCTCTCCTTCCTCATTTCACCTCAAGTGGAGGCAGCAATGATAATTCTCCTCATCCGACAGCAACCCTGGGAAGCAGAGCTGAGTGTCAAATTCAGGTGTGTGCAGTGATGTCTGAATGGGCCAAAACCCTGCAGCGCCCTCCTCAGCTCAGGACCCCCAGCCAGCCAGGCAGCATGGTTCCCCATGCAGGGGCATCTCACCCAGCCACAACCCTTATGTTTGCTTCCTAAGAAAGGGGACTTCAGCATCTCATACTGGACCGAGACTATCTAACAAGGCAGCCCTGGCATAAAAGCAGCCCTCATATCCTGTGAGGGCACAGTTCGTGTCCCCACACACAGAGCTCAGCCTGTGACATGCCACCATCATGCACCCTGGGGGGCTCCCATCCACATACTCACTGGTCGTAGACACCGCGACCACAGGACTGTACTGGTATTCTCCGGAGGGGCTGGTGACCTTCAGTCGAAATCGGTAGAGTGTCCTCGGCTCCAGCCCTTTGACAACATGCTGAGTCGCATATCCCCTAAGTGGAGGAAGATACAGGCGGGTAAGGCCAGCTGACCTAGGACTTGTGCCCCGGCAGGTCTAAGCAGGGCAGATGGAGAAGGTTCTGGAACACTCTCCATTCCCCGGGACCCCTGTGCTGCTGACCACACTAAACTGCAGGACCTGGAGAGAAAGGGACCATGTCAGACCTGTCACTCCCCATGTCACTTGTCCACGCCACTCTCCGGGGCCCAGTTCAGTACCTGAAGAGCAGCAGGTGCACAACTTGTATTCTGGACAAATAATTGTGTTAACTCATGACATCTGTCCCCCCAGTGACGACGACACACAAGAGGGGGGGCACAGAATCAAGGAGACACATACTTTAAAGTGGGGTCTGAGCACCAGCAGAGACGGATCCCTGTTGCTGGAAGTACTTCTGCACATAAATGTTCACCATGGGGCAGGATAGCACCCACTGCGGCAAGGAGAGTGCCCACTGCCCTGGGGAAGAGCGCCCACTGCCCGGAAAGGCACTGAGGGGAAAATGCATGCTGGCAGGACAGTCATTGGTGACTAAGCCACCGGGGAGAGAGCCACGTTCATGCTGAGCCCAGAGTCAAGTTCACCCAGGAGTGCTGTGGGGAGACCCTCGTCCCCCACCACCTAGACAAGCCTGGATCTTGACAAAACATTCGGGGCAGGGGAAAGGGGGTTGTCAGGAATCGGACAGCAGTAACTAGCTTGCTGGTTCTAGAAAGAGGGTAGTTGACAAGAAGACTGCTGATGACCTGCCCACCTTGTGGCAGAAACCATGTGGCCATTCTACTGACCCTCCACTTACGTTCACTTTCTCTCTCTGTCCATCTCTCAAGTATTGGTGTTCTCGACAGAGCTGCTGCCAAATCAATTTGTATTATTCCTCAAGAAATGTCTTGTTTAAAGAAAAAACAAATCTGAAGATTACAAAAACCATGTTAAAATTGAAAATTATCTATGAATTCCATTTCTTTTGTGTTTCTGTCCATTGTCCAAAACTTAGATGAAAGGTTCTGAGAACACTGTGCTGCCTTTTCCACATCCCAGTTACTGTGGCCCCAAAGTCTAAATGACTCGCTGGGTGTGGTTCTAACGGGGAGCAAAGCCCAGGAGCCCGAAGCTGGCCTCTGAACACACACACCCCCTCTTCCAACAGGAGAGATCCACATCCTCCCCCTTGAGAAAGTGGAATGTGGAGAAGCTGGGTGAGGTCCGGGCCTCGCCAGAAAGATGCCTGGAAGCTTCTGCCAGCTTCCTTCAGAGTGAGTCACCTCGTGCTCAGGAGAGAGCAGAGCAGCCGCTCAGTGAAGGCAGCCCTGGGAGAGGAGGGTGAACGGAGATGGAAGAGGAGACAGCTGCCACGGCCACTGCAATCAAGACATCAGACACAGACACGCGCAAAGCCGCCCCTGCAGGGCCACCTCAGGCACAAGCCATGGGAGCAAGGGTCTCGCCCAAGTGTCCGAACGATCACGGACACCTGACAGGCTCTGCCCTAAGCGTCCATGTGTTAACATGGCCTGTTAGGCAGCCACAGATAACGGGTGCACGACATACCAATCAGAAAGTACGAGAAGGCGGTGGGGAACTGATACCACGTTATAAACCATGCTTGAGTCAAGACACCAGGGGGACGGGGAAGTGTTCAGAAGAGAAATAAATGCATTTTCCATAGAAATAAAAACTCTGGAGAGAAGATAAGTATTCAGAGAACTGCAGTGGGTTGAGAAAGAACAAAACACCCTATAAAGAGACCAGTCTGGGACAAAGCCCTTCTCCCAGGACCGGGTGGGAGTTAGAAGCCACACAGGCGCTGGAGTGCTTACATGCCGGACCACAGAAATGGAGACGGTACCAAGGAGGAACAAGGATTACGAGGGAGGATTGCCAGTGAAGCAAAAACCGTCAGAAGCTCAGAGAAAACCCGACTATTCAGTCCTCAGAGGAACTCAGTGCTGGGGAAGGGAGGGGCACAGATGTGAAGATCTGGACTACAAGAAACCAGGAATACCCAGCAACAATCCTCACTGCCTACCTGAAGGGCGTGCTGATGCAAATAGCACCTTCTTAGCTCTTAGGAAGGGAGGTAATGTTAGCGTGGGGGACAGTATGCTCTGAACACATCTTCCCTTGTTGTCATTGTTGTTGTGTACCATCAAGTTGGAACCCACCCACAGCTGACCCTCCAGGGGGGTTTCAGAGGCCGTTAATAGCACGGAAGGAGACTGCCCATCTTTCTCCCACAGAGTAGCTGGCAGCTGCGAACTGGTCCTTAAGGTACGGCATTTCCCCCACTAGGATGTAAGAAAGGAGCCTGCGTGGGGTACAGGTTGAGCCTTTGTGTGCTAACTGAAAGGTCATTGGTTCAAACCCACCAGCTGCTCCCTGGGAGGCGGCAGCGGTGGCAGGCTGCTCCTGTAAAAACTGTACTGTTCTGTACTGTTCTGTTCTGTATGGTCCAGATGGAACGGGCCCAGCAGACCCTCCAGTGAGTGAGTGGTCAGAGGCAGTGAGTCACGTGAAGGGAGATTTTCCATCTTTTTCCTTCAGGGCAGTGGATGGCTTCAGACCCCTGGCAGCCCAGCTCCTCCTCTCCAAGCCCCCGAGCTCCCCACTGTGAGGACCAAGCCGTGGCCACCAGAAGTTAGTTCTCACCATGGAGTCAGAGCCTACTCATTGCTGACCCTCCAGGACATGCCACAGGCTCTAAAGCTGATGGCCTAGTGGGTAAGGAGTTACACTAGCAATTCAAAGGCAAGTGGTTCAAATCCACCAGCTGCTCTGAAGGAGAAAGACAGACTATCTCCTCCTGTGTCGTTTACTGTTATGTGTTGTCAAATCAGAACCAACTCTTTTTTAAATTTTATTTTATCATTTTTGTATGTGTACCGTCAAATCAGATCTGACTGGTACGGGAGGAGATAGTCCCTCCCTCTCCAGCAGAGCACCAAGTGGATTTGAACCACGTACCTCTGGGATTGCAGGGCAGCTTCCCACCACCAGGCCACCAGAGCTCCCTGTAGAACCAACTCTTAGCGGACCCTCCAGTGGGATCTAGGAGGCTGTAAACAAGCCTCTAAATCAACAGATTGTCCATTTTTCTCCCTCAGAGCAGCTGGTGGATTTGAACGTCCGGCCTTTGTGTTGACAACACAATTCCTCACACAGTGAGCCACTACAGCTCCTTCCCATGCGATTTATAGCTTTGAAAACTGGCCTCAGGGTGAGCGACAAGATGGTTCCGGCTTGGCTGTAGCACTTAACAATGGCAACCCAACAGGAAGTGCTCATCTCTCTCCCTCAGAGCCCCGAGTGGGTTCAGTCTGCCCGAGAGGCTCTCGCCTTCGGGTTAACAGGGAAGCTCCCTAAGAACTACACCCCCAGGGATCGTAGTGTCATTAATATGTTAATCAGTGACAGCTAATGTTAGAAAACACCTATGAAGGATTCTATGAAAACCCAGTAAAATTTGTAAGCTTTCAAATTTAAAAACTCCCTAAGCCTTGGGAACGGTGTGGGGCGGCTGTCCTCTGAGTTGGGGTCGACTCACTGGAAACAGGTAGGACGTCAGCGTTTCTTTTTCTACCTAGCTCATTGCTAGATCCCAGTTCCTGCAACTGCCCAGTGTATTTGTTGGCTGGATGAACTGGCCTTGCGCTGAGGCCAGAGGTTCTCACGTCATAAACAGAGTTTGGTCCCACGTGGAACATGGACCTAATAGGGTCCTAAGACTCAGGCCCACTGGGGGTTGGGAGTCAGTAGGTACCAGCAAGTCAGCTTCAGCTCCCAGGAGTCCTAGTGACAGAGCGGGTTTCCTGACTGTAATCAGGGGATCTCTGATAGTGTGGTCCGTAGAGGGCTGCACTGTTAACCCCCAGGCAGCACCACTGGGGGGATTGAAATAAACCAACACCTGCACAGGAGGAAGACGGGAAGTCTCTGGAAGTCTCTGCCATGAGACCGAGCGCCTCCGTGAACCTCCAGGAGGAGGGTCAGCCAGGAGCCAGCTCCCAGCAGATAACAAGGAGGCCAAACAAGGAACACTGATGGGATCACCAGGTCTATTCTCCCATGGAGCTGCTGCGTGGACTTGAACAGCCTACTCTGAGGCTGGTGGTAGATGTTTAATCACTGTGCAGCCAGGGCTCTTTGCCCATCGGGGGACAGAGGGGTGAAGGGAGGTGCAGGAGTGGAAGTCGGGTGGGGCACAGTTACGGTGGTAAGAGTTGTTGTTTGCCGTCTCCTCACGTCTGACTGACTCCTGCCACCCAGGCCATCCTCTTAAATGTGAGCCCACCGCCGCAGCACTGTGTCACTCTCTTGTTGATTTTCTTATTCTCCTTCCCTGACTCTCTACCTTTTCAAGCCGGACGTCTTTTTCCAGGAATTAGCCCCTCCTGATAACACACCCAAAGTATGTGGAACAAAGCGTCCCGTTAGATTCTTTGATGCTTCACAGCAAGTACAGTCCAGACAAGGATGACTAACAGAATTAACTCGTGAACCTCCAGAGAAACCCTATTCCACCTTCCCACAAAGACTTACAACCTTGGAGACCTGATGGGGGGGGTCACTGCAGGGCAGAACTGACTCAGAGGCAGTGGGTTGGGTCAGGTAAGGTAAGGTGGCGGCGGCTATGTGCTGGAGAGTCGGAACTGACCCGTAGCTGACCCTCCGGCAGGTTTTCAGAGTCAGCTAATTGCACGGGAGGAGACTGCCCATCCTTCTCCCAGAAGCTATGGTGATGTGGGGAAAAGCCAAAGAATCTTAGAATTATTTCCACAGCAGAGAAAATGCTGGAAAATGTAGCATAGCACAAGCTCATATTTTGTTACCAAATCAGCACACATCTGATGCAAAAACTAATGGAGCACAAACTATTTGTAAACCCCAAAGCCTGGTATTACCCCAGCACCTTCTCTCTCTCACGTCTGCACTCCGTCTCCTCCCTCTGCAGTCTGCCGTCACGCTGGTGACTATGGCATTTGTATGTCAGCC